CTTCCATATTTCCAAATCCTCCCATCACTGCTCTCTGGTTTGAAATTCATTAAAATAAAACAACAACAAAAACCAGCCAAAATCAGAGATCTCAGACACAATATATAACCCTGTGATTCAGTTCTGAAAGGGGCTGCATGAAAATAAGATTCTTCTCACTCAGTGGGCTTAATTATGTTGTGTTCCCTTTGGGTATCCATTCTAGAAGTCTCGACAAGGAAGCACAAATAGTTTCTATTGCTTGTATCACAGTACAACCAAATATGTATTGGGAAAAGATTGTGGGTGACATATTGGCTTTCAGATTTTTGTGTGTGGTTGTTGATTCTTGTTTGTATTCATGAAGATAATTAACTATTTGTAATGGCCAAGGTATTGAACTCAGCTTAAGTCTTTATAAACAGGGTATACATGTGGGGCTGATAAGGACACAAACATGAATTTACTCATATAGCTGTGTAAAAACAGACTCTGTTTGTAATACTGAGCTAAATCTGTGTTGATCTTCCTTGGAGTAAACCTATTGAAATAAATGAGATTAACATTAATGGTGACTAACAACTACTATTCACTTCAGTAGACCTGCTCCAGGTATGCCTAGCAATGCATTGGGCCATTACTTTGGGTTATTTCTCCCAAGGAGAGTGTGCTGGTTTAGGGAAACATTAGATCAGTTTCTTGACCCAAAAGCTTGTTAGTTTCCTTCTGATCTTGGGACTCAGCTCAGCATCATAAAGTGGAAAGAGAAAGAATGAAGTTCATTTCTTTAGGGGTCTTTAGCTACGACACATTTTCTTGATCCCACTATTTATTCTTTGCCAGGCCCTCATAGCCTGTCTCTTTATGGAACCACAACTGCCCTTTATTATTCCTGCTGTGGGAAACGTCACCTTTTAATTATGAATCTGAGTGAGTTAATTCCATGATTTAAGGTATGACTTTAATTTAAGATGATTGTGTATTATTGGAGTAGTGTAATAATATGGAAAGTGGTATAAAACTATGCATCACTGCAGAAAGTGGGTAGGAAGAAATGTTGCTCCATCGCTTAAAGTCCTAGTGCTTAGGGTCACCAACTGAAGCAGAATTGTGGGAGAATCAGGATAAACAGAATAAACTGCTTCTATACATAGCATGGAATTCAGCTCTGGAAGCTGGTACCCAAAGAGGTAGTAAAGGCTGCCAATGTGAAAAGGAACTTAATGAATTTGTGGAGGATATGTCTGGCAATATCTACAAATCAAGATGGCCAGCATTGGAAGCAGTAGACCTCCATACACCACTTGGTGGGAAACACAACTTATGGGCCTCTCATAGGCATGACGTTGGCCACCCTGGGAACAGAATGCTGGAACAGAAAGGTCTCTGGACTTTAAGGCATGTCTTGTGACCTTAAAAGTCTAAGGGGCACAAAATCTGCTTCTACCATAGGCCATGATCTGATCTTTCTAGAGTGGCACCTTCTCCCAGATATTTAAGTCAAAAGAAGAGCCTGAAATATTTTGGAATTGTTTCCTGTCACATTGGTGTATCTGCCATAGAACAGTTTCCACAAACTGATGGATTGTAATTGTGGACAGAGAAGTTACCATGCTAGATGTCCTGGAGTGGATTTCATATTGAGTTCTGTGTGAAGTCATCCTCATCTTCATCACTTGATTTTTTTTGGGGGGGGGATACAAGTTTCAGAATACATCAGCCAACATTGGCCATTGTCATGTTTTTTGGGGATTCTGGAAGCTGTAGCATTTCCAGCCTCTGGTTATGACTAAGCATTTCTGGATAGCAACAATGGCGCTGTCCCTCATTGTCACAAACCCTACCTCATGTCTCCTGGTAGAAAACTAAATTCAGGTGCTAAAATGCAGAGGAGCCGTGTAGCCTGCCTCACCCTTAGCATTGACAAACTTTGCAGAGAATGACTCATCAGAACAACCATTTCAGCTGTTTGTTTGCTTATCTTGAGAAGGAGATTAAGACACTGCATGTATGTTTTCAAGTAAGTGCCTTAAGAGCAGATTTAAGAGATTGAAAAATAACAAAATTAACAGCCCCCCTTGTCAAGCCTTAGAAACATCATCCCAAAGGAAGCTTGTAGCCTTTTCTGGGAAAGCATCTTTGCACATCTCCCACCAGGGGTGAACACTGAAAAGGAATAACAGGGACTTCCAATTAATCTTGGTCTCCAGATTCCGTATCCAATAATTTCAAAGCTGTCTCATAGTGTAGAGAAATTGAGTCTGCCTCTTCTTTGTTTTATAAAAGGAATGCAGTCTGTCTTTAGTGTTCACAGTGTCTTCTGAAATGAATGGGATCTGACAAGGCTGAAGGGATGACATTGCACTTGGAAGGCAATGTTGAATGGGTCCCTTTAATGTCTTGTTTCACGTTTACAGGAGAATCTGGGAAGAGCCACCTGCCACAGTCCCCTTACAGAGTAACAAGCTGCTACTCAGTACTACAGAAAGGGATGACAGAGATTCTCTGTTCTCTCTCTCTCTCTCTCTCTCATTCTCTTGATCTCTCATGAAACTGGGAATCAGAGATACAACGAGCAGCAGATTTTGGGACAGAAATACTGTAAAAGATTTCATCATGCATATAAGCAATTCACCATCACTTAATTGACTTTTTTTAAAAAAATGCACATGATTGGAGAATTCCATGAAAAATAAATCTATCAATGAGTAAACAGTCTGCTTTACCATTAGACAAGATGGGATACCCATTCTAGCATGCAAAAGCAGCTATTATTACTAATCTTTTGGCATTGTATTTTTAATACCAGAGAAATAGAGAGAGA